TCCAGCTATTGAACAATTTAGAGGCAAGACGTCCGTACGCTGGATCTTCCTATTTTAAAAAAAGCCCATTAGTTCTGCTTCGGGTAGACGTTTTAAAGTCTGGGAAGCCGAGAAAAAAAAAAAATCCATTTAACACATGTCAATATTGAAAGGAATGTCAATGGCTTGGCTTTAGATATTAACTTTGTTTTTAAACAAATCTGTGTTTTTTAGAGGGGGGGAGGGAAATCCACCGCCTGGCTACTGTACAAAGTTTACCTGGATCGATAGATGCAAGGTATTATCGACTGAATGTATGAAAAGGGAAAGCATTTTTAGGCATAGGATAAGGATTCAGGGGGTTGGTGTCAGAAGGAAGAAATCAGGAGCCAGGATAAAATTAACAGAATAACAGAGTTGGAAAGGAACTTTGGAGGTCTAGCAGAGTATTTACTGGCCGGATGCCCTTCCTGTCACCGATGCAGAGTTTTGCACAGCAGATATATTCTCATGGTGCCCAGAGAGAGAGAAATATCTGCCTCTACCTAGGATCGAACTCACAGCCTCCTGATTGTGAGATGAGAGCTCCACTTCTAGGCCACCGCACCACTCCCGTGTGCCTCCATGTATGACCATCCAAAATGTAAGTTGAGATACTCAACCCTGGCGGGTTGCCTCTTCGGCAAAGATCGACTAAACAAAAATTATTATAGCAAACTCGAAATGCACAGGGGTGGAAATGTAACAGCCTTAATTTAGTCTTCACACTATGTTCTTTTTACAATTCTTTTTCACTTTTTTTTTTTTAAAAAAAATTGCATTTCAAACCAAACAAAGGGTCATTAAAAACACTTAAAATAGCGCAGTTCCAAATTACAATGTAAAAATAGCCCAATATTGGCAGCTCAGAGAAATCATGTGCGTAACTCAACTTAAGGGTAGGATCTATCCTGCTTGATACCTTGCTGAGGAGAAAGGAGAACTGAGGGTTCAAACCTGGTTCCCTCACTTGAAGGAACAGATCCAGGAAAGAAAAAATGTCAGGATTCCAAGTAACACCCCCAACGAAAGAAGACTCCGAGGCTTGAAGTTCCTCATTTTATTACAGATGTCATATTGGTACATCTGGGAAAACCCGAATCTGAAAGCTTCCAGGTTTTCCCCACCCAAAGGAAAGTCCAAGTCCCTGCCCAGCACCCACAAGTCCATCACATGGTCCAATTAAAGCACCATCCCAACTGGAGATGCCTCCCAGTTCCAGCCGTTCAGGTGCAGAGCAAGATGGCCTTGACTCTCTGAGAAAAGAATGTTATTATGACTACATATCACCCCTGGCTCCATACAATCCCCCCTCCCAGTTTCCCACAGTAGTAAATGTGGCAGGCCTGAAGATTCAACGGAAAAGGTAGCTTCCAGGCCTGAGACAATGGTTGAAGCTTAATCCACATAATCCCAACCTCGAGACATCCTAGAAAGATGTCACCACTGTCAAGCAGTAAAGCAAATCACCAAATGGCACCAACATCCCACCTTGAGAGACTAGGCTCTTTGGGATGAAGGCTTAGTCAACCCAAAGTCTTAAAGTTCTCCTAAATGCACCATTCTTTCTTATTAAGCTAACCAGAGATGGGTTTCACATATGGTAGCAACCGGTTCGCCCAGCACCGGAAATGTGAACGCACGCTCACATGCGTGCGGTGTCACAAAACACAGCAATTTGCATGCATGCGCCATCCGCACATGTGTGCGATGTCAAACAACACAGCAATGCGCACGCACACGCCGTCCACAGATGCATGAGGCATCAGAAACACAGTGATATAAGACGGGATTGCACTCGGGAAGGTCGCAACTACCGGTTCACCTGAACTAGTCCGAACCGGCTGAATACCACCTCTGAAGCTAACCAGCATAGGCTGACTTAAGGAAGAGTTTTCTGCTGTTGCTGCAGAAAACCTTTGGCCTGAAAGCCACAAATGTGAGAAATGAAATATATTGCTGGACCCTTTCTGGCCCTGTCTCGTGAACGTTGCTTAAACTGCTCACCCAGATTCTTGGTCTCAAACCTACCTCTTGGCTTTTCTTTACAGACACACTTCTGAAATATTTGATATTGTCTGTGCTGTTCTGGGATATGGACGATCTCAGTTGCTTTCTCTTCTCCGGAGGGCGCTTGATATCCCTGATAACGATTTATATCTTGGTGGTGCTGGTTGAAATCCTTTGGATATTAGGTCTGAATTGATGGAGTAGCAATTGTTGAAGATCCTACCATGTTTCTCTGAAAATAAGACCCTATCTTATTTTTATTTTATTTTTTTGTCACTAAAAAAGGTGCCAGGTCTTATTTTCAGAGGGGATGTCATCCACTGACTCACCTCACTTGTGTGCATCTTCCCCTGGCCTCTTTTTCATTATCAGAGGCCTTCAGGAACTTCTTCATCCAGCAAGGCAGCAAGACTTTCCTGAAGGCCTCCATAGCCGATAACAGAGCTCCTGATCAATTCAGGACTCTGTTATCGGCTACATAGGTCTTCAGGAAAGCCTTGCCAGCTGCAGAAGAAATGGACCAAGGTGTGCGAGGCCTGGCTGCAACTATCCGAAGCTACCGTATTTTTCAGAGTATAAGACGCACCTTTTTCCCCCAAAAAAAGAGGGTGAAAATCTGGGTGTGTCTTATACTCCGAATGTAGCCCCGCCCAGCCTCGCAAACGGAGATTTCAGAGGCTGAAAGAAGCCTCGGAAAGAAGCTTCAGAAAAAAAGCCTCCAAACAGAGCTTCGGGAAAAAAAGCCTCTGAAAGGCTTTTATCTAAAATAATATGGCAAGCAACAAAAGAAGAATCAGTAAAGGTTTTAACCAAACTATGCTAACAAATCTGGAGAATGACACAATAACCAACAGATCGGAAGAGGTTAATCTATATACCAATACCAAAGAAAGGAGATTGAACAGAGCACAGATAATCCTTCAGAATAAAAGCCTCTGAAAGAAGCTTCAGAAAAAAAGCCTTCAAACAGAGCTTCAGAAAAAAAGCCTCCAAACAGAGCTTCACGGAAAAAAGCCTTTTTTTCTCAAGCTCTCTTTCGGAGGCTTTCAGAGGCAGAAAAAAAAAGCAAGGCACAGAGCTCACAACCAACAAACCTGTTGCTAAAATTCATCTCTGGGAACAGCTGATTGGGGGTATTCTGGGAGGCTGATCCACCCACCAATCAGCTTTTTTCTTATTTTTCTCCCCAAAAACTAAGGTGCATCTTATACTCCGAAAAATACGGTAAATAATAGGGCAGCTCCACCCCCATCCCCACCTTACCTTAATTTTTACCTGTGCACCCTGGAGTGGGCGGGGTCTTAATTATGGCTTATTTTGGGGGGCTATGGCTTATATTGGGCACATGTGTAAAAAAATCAAGCTAAGACTTAATTTCTGAGTAGGTTGTATTTTCAGGGGAAACGCGGTAATTTGTACAAAATAGAAATGCACACCGACTACTAGGAAATACAACTTGCTTATTAAGATTTGATGATCATCTGGACTGAGTTGTTCCCTTTTATGTCCGACAACTTGTCAAAATGATCAAATATGTCGGCAAAAACACTGGGATCCATTTTCTAGAAGTGTTCGAGAAAGCAACACAACATGACCCTTAAGCCAAGAAGCAAAACAGCCAGTATTTCGGTGGAGATACAAAACATTTAGAGTTACTAACTCTTTCCAGGCAATATTTTCCTTGTAACTTATATTTTTTCCGCTGCTCGCCTATCAACCTAGGATTGGACCAATTCCCAAATATGTAGAATTCTGTACTTAAATATCTCCCTGGACAAAACCATACAAATTCATTGCTGAGACCTTTAAATCTTCAAGGTTATCTTACAAAGTAAAGGCCCATTATTGTATAACTTCTTAGGAATGTAAAAAATAATCCCGGAGCCCTTTTTTGAAAAGGATATGCTTCCTAAAGATTACGCTTAGTTTTGGATTTTAAAACAAGGGGGCCAGAAGGTAGTGGGAATAAAAAGCAAGGAACCACTCATTAGATTAATCCCAACATCCGTTTCAATTAACGGACCAATACCAACTAAGAATAATGAATGCATAGAATACATAATACACAGAATATGTAGAATAGAGTACATACTGTAGAACACAGAACACAGAAAATACTTTCCTAGTAAAGGTAGTCCTTGATTTATGACCATCGCTGTTGGAATCAGAATTTCCTTCACTAAGCAACGTGGTTGATTGGTGAATCAGACCTGATTTTGCAAACTTTTGTTGTTGTTGTTGTTTGTTTGTTTGTTTTTGGCCACGTTGTTAAGCAAATCACTTCAGCGAATCACACGGTGATTCAGTGAATCCAGCTTCCTTGGTTGACTATGCTTGTCTGAAGCCATCTGGAAGGTTGCAAATGGAGATCAAGGGATCCCAGGATCTCCATCCACGTCTATGGCCAAGTGTTCGAATTTTGATCGCAGGAGATGCTGTGATAGTCACAAGTGTGAGGAACAGCTGTAAGTACCCTTTTTTATTTTTTTTAGTGCCAGTGTAACTCCAGAGATGGTATTCAGCCGGTTTGGGCTAACCGGTAGGAGCGATCTGCAGCCGGCGCTATGCCGTCCTACTTAGTCACGTCTTCAAGCTGTGTGCATGCGTGGAAGTCACGCGTGTGAGCAAAGCGCATGTACAGAAGGCCATGCACATGCGTGGAGGGGGCACACACGCGCACTCACATTTTCGGTGCTGGGCAAATCGGTAGGTGAATCCCACCTGTGTAACTCGGAATGGTCAGGAAACATATGGTTATAACTCAAGGACTATCTCTATAGAGCAACTGGCTTCCTTTGATCTCAAGCCTGAAACCACTGACACCATGGAACTTATTCAAAGCCACAAGATTCCAACCTTCACTAAATTGCACCACTCAATTAGAAACAACCAAACAGAAGCCACCGATCCTTCAAGGAATGCATTGTCCAACCGTTTCCAAAGATTATTGGAAATAAACTTCAGGCACTTACCTGAATTTCTCTTGGAGACCAGCTTCATGCTCCTGCAGAGGGCCACAAAAACTGCAAAGACCAAGAGATGAGCAGGCTTCATCTTCTAATCCCTTTTGGCAGCTGAAATGCATATAGATGTTGTTAAGTCTGGACCTGAGTCTCCCCCAGATGTATATCTCTGCGCGTTAATCTCTTTAGAGCCCTCCCTGCAAACTCTTTGTGGTGCAACGGCTTCAACAGAACCTAGGGAGTTCGACTCCAAAATATTTACATCGCAGAACAAATTCCTGTCCCTATCAATAGAAGGGAATGTTTGTAAACTCAAGGTTGAAGTGAGGGGTCCTTGGCGCTCTCTGAGCGTGGTGGTTTTCTTGCAGATGTTTCATGACCCAAGTAGGTAACATCATCAGTGCTGGAAGGGAGTGAGGTTTGCAGAGAGGAGGAGGAGGAGGGGGAAGAGGAGAAGGAGAAGGAGGAGGAGGAAGAGGAGGAGAAGGAGGAGGAGGAGGAGGAGGAGGAGGAGGAGGAGGAGGAGGAGGAGAAGAAAGGGTATGGGGTCATTGGTGCTCTCTAAGCTTGGTAGTTTTTTTGCAGCCATTTCATGACCCTACTAGGTAACATAATCAGTGCTAGGAGGGAGAGGGATGTGTAGAGAGGAGGAGGAGAACCATGGGGTCCTTGGTACTCTCTGAGCTTGGAGGTTTTCTTGAAGGCATTTCATGACCCAACTAGGTGACATCATCAGTACTAGGAGGGAGGGGAGAGGAGGAGGAGGAGGAGGAGGAGGAGGAGGAGGAGGAGGAGGAGGAAGGCTATGGGGTCCTTGGTGCTCTCTGAGCTTGGCGTTTTCCTTGCAGGCATTTCATGACCCAACTAGGTAATATCTTCAGCGCTAGACTAAAAAACCACGAGAGGCCTCCATAAAGTCTTCAGAAGTTAAACTCAACTGGGATGATTTGACTTTAGACTGAAGTTTAGAGCAAAGAGAACCATCCAATGGAAACCAGAGGACAGAGCAAGTCACAAAAGCTATTCAACAACAAGATAATGAAGACATTAGTATGCCAGAAAGAGTTTCTTAACCTTTTTTTTTTTTTTGACGTTTCAAATCCCAAAACTTCAATTTTGAAGTTTCAGCTCAAGTAGGGCCACCTTGACGAGAAGGTAGGTTTTGTTTTAAAGGAGAGATAAAGTAATTGAACTAAATCTTCTCACAGATAATTGTGATTATGAAGTTACGCTGGATGATTTTTCAAGTGGATCTTCGCAAATTACTTTCCCCCACTTTGCACTCTTCAGCCCAAAAGCGGTAACAGCTTCTCGTTCTGCGGTCTATTATAATGCCTCTTCCCGGGTCCTCCCAACAGTTCTATTTGAGTGGCCAAAAAAAATGAAACTTTTTTTTAATTTAAAAAAAAAAAAGCAATTTATTCCCACTACGGTGTAGCAATATGGAAGCTGTCTTATTGTCTTTCAGCTAGAAATATCATTGGATACACGCCATCTCACTGCTCCTGGCTAAAATGAGGGGAGAGATATTTATTTATTTATTCATTTATTAATCATATTTCTATGCCACCTACTCTCCGAGGACTCTGGGCGGCTTACAACAATCGACAGTATACTAAATAACATATTGCCCCCAACAATCTGGGTCCTCATTTTACCCACCTCGGAAGGATGGAAGGCTGAGTCAACCTTGAGCCAGTCAGGATCGAACTCCTGGCAATGGGCAGAATTAGCCTGCAATACTGCATTCTAACCACTGTGCCACCACGGTCTGTCCTTCCTTCCTTCCTTCCTTCCTTCCTTCCTCCCTCCCTCCCTTCCTTCCTTCCTTCCTCCCTCCCTCCCTCCCTCCTTCTTTCCTTCCCACTTAGCACTAACACTTAGATTTATATGCTGCTTCGCAGTGCTTTACAGCCCTCTCTAAGCGGTTTACAGAGTCAGCATATTACCCCCAACAATCTGGGTCCTCATTTTAACGACCTCGGAAGGATGGAAGGCTGAGTCAACCTTGAGCCGGTGAGATTTGATCCGCTGATCTGCTGAACTAGCAGTCAGCTGAAGTAGCTGCAGTACAGCACTCTAACCACTGCGCCACCTCGGCTCAGTAATATGTTTACATTAGATTTTGATAGCCATCTAAATCCATGTTTCCAATTAACGGTTATCACTTCAATTTTGTAAAGGAGTTCGCCAGCTGTGTGTTCGGGAAACTCGGTACAAAAAAAAAACCCAATGCATCGTATAAGACATTGTTGGCAAAAAACCCAAAACATTGAAATATTGTATTTATTTATTTTTTTCGGTTCGCAGGGAGAAATGCACCTGGTGCACAACCTTCGGTGAGAAGTGTTAAAAAAAAAAATTCTTGTCCTTGAAGAAATGTTCAAAAAAAATTTTTTTTAAAAAAAATCTTAGCTTGGAAGAAAGTTAAAAACAAAATATAAGAAAGAGATTAAAAATAAGGACAGTGATTTCTTCATCCATATTTCTTGATTTGTATCCTGCCTTTATTATTTTTACAAAGGTCTCAAGGGAGTGAACCTATCCAACCCACTTTCTCCCTCCTCTTTTCTTCAATACAACAACCCTGTGAGGTTGGGTTGAGCTGAGGGAAAGGGACTGGCCCAAAGTCACCCAACTGGCTTTCATGACTAAAGTGGGATTAGAACTCACCACCTGTTGGTGATTGGACCAGCTGACTTTTATGCCTAAGGCAGGACTAGAACTCACCGTCTCCTGGTGATTGGCCCAAAAGTCACTCAACCAAATTTCATGCCTAAGGCAGACTAGAACTCACCGTCTCCTGGTGATTGGCCCAAAATCACTCAACTAAATTTTCATGCCTAAGGCAGGACTAGAACTCACCGTCTCCTGGTGATTGGCCCAAAGTCACTCAACCAAATTTCATGCCTAAGGCAGGACTAGAACTCACACCGTCTCCTGGTGATTGGCCCAAAGTCACTCAACCAAATTTCATGCCTAAGGCAGGACAAGAACTCACCGTCTCCTGGTGATTGGCCCAAAGTCACTCAACAAATTTCATGCCTAAGGCAGGACTAGAACTCACCGTCTCCTGGTGATTGGCCCAAAGTCACTCAACTAAATTTCATGCCTAAGGCAGGACTAGAACTCACCGTCTCCTGGTGATTGGCCCAAAGTCACTCAACCAAATTTCATGCCTAAGGCAGGACTAGAACTCACCGTCTCCTGGTGATTGGCCCAAAGTCACTCAACTAAATTTCATGCCTAAGGCAGGACTAGAACTCACCGTCTCCTGGTGATTGGCCCAAAGTCACTCAACCGAATTTCATGCATGCCTAAGGCAGGACTAGAACTCTCCGTCTCCTGGTGATTGGCCCAAAGTCACTCAACCAAATTTCATGCCTAAGGCAGGACAAGAACTCACCGTCTCCTGGTGATTGGCCCAAAGTCACTCAACCAAATTTCATGCCTAAGGCAGGACTAGAACTCACCGTCTCCTGGTGATTGGCCCAAAGTCACTCAACTAAATTTCATGCCTAAGGCAGGACAGAGAACTCACCGACTCCTGGTGATGGCCCAAAGTCACTCAACCAAATTTCATGCCTAAGGCAGGACTAGGACTCTCCGTCTCCTGGTGATTGGCCCAAAGTCACTCAACCAAATTTCATGCCTAAGGCAGGACAAGAACTCACCGTCTCCTGGTGATTGCCCAAAGTCACTCAACCAAATTTCATGCCTAAGGCAGGACAAGAACTCACCGTCTCCTGGTGATTGGCCCAAAGTCACTCAACTAAATTTCATGCCTAAGGCAGGACTAGAACTCACCGTCTCCTGGTGATTGGCCCAAAGTCACTCAACTAAATTTCATGCCTAAGGCAGGACTAGAACTCACCGTCTCCTGGTGATTGGCCCAAAGTCACTCAACCAAATTTCATGCCTAAGGCAGGACTAGAACTCACCGTCTCCTGGTGATTGGCCCAAAGTCACTCAACTAAATTTCAGCCTAAGGCAGGACTAGAACTCACCGTCTCCTGGTGTTGGCCCAAAGTCACTCAACCAAATTTCATGCCTAAGGCAGGACTAGAACTCTCCGTCTCCTGGTGATTGGCCCAAAGTCACTCAACCAAATTTCATGCCTAAGGCAGGACAAGAACTCACCGTCTCCTGTGATTGGCCCAAAGTCACTCAACCAAATTTCATGCCTAAGGCAGGACAAGAACTCACCGTCTCCTGGTGATTGGCCCAAAGTCACTCAACCGACTTTCATGCCTAAGGCAGGACTAGAACTCACCGTCTCTTGGTGATTGGCCCAAAATCACCCACCTGGCATTCATGCCTAAGGGAGGACTAGAACTCACAATCTCCTGGTGATTGGCCCTGGTGAGTGCTAGAACCCAAAAGTTCGGCTTTTTCCAAGCGCAATCCCTTCGTGCGCACGGCAGTGCCGAAAACTGACTTATGCATGCACGCTGGCCAGCTGATTGTTGGGTGCGCATGCATGCTAGAACCCAGAAGTTCAGCTTTTCCGGAGTGTGGCCTTGATGAGCGCAAGCACGCGTGTAACATTTCTGCGCGATCTTTTCAGCACTCGGTGCCGAAAAGGTTCTCCATCACTGATCTACAAGGATGCATGACACCGAAGAGGGACGACAGAATTTGGACTCATAATGTTATGTAGTTTTAGATAATGTAGGTTTACATGATGTGGTTTTAATTTCCTCCTGTGTGTGTTTTATTTCCATGTTTTATTGCTCTGTGCTGGCAAGCAGCTAGGAACTGTGGCAGATAATGAATCTAATAAGAGAAAGAAATACATAAATGGACTCGTTACCACCAAGTATAATAACAGCCAGGAATTTGGAAGCCTTAAAAGTTGACTAGACAAAATTGGCAGAACATTCTTAGTGGGTGCCAATAATGGATTGCAGGGAGTCCTCGTGTTACGATCACAATCGAGCCCAACATTTCTGCCGGTAAGCGAGATAGTTGTTAAGTGAGTTTTGGCGCCTTTCTTGCCGCAGTCATTAAATGACTCACTGCAGTCGTGAAGTTAGGAATGCCGTTGTTAAGTGAATCTAGCTTCCCCACTGACTTTGCGTGTCAGAAGGGGATTGTGTGACCTTCCG